CCCAGAATTCTGGGAGTTGAAGTCCACACATCTTAAAGTTGCTGAGATTGAGAAACACTGTCCTAGACTATGAATGTGTATATGATAGAGGTGAAAACACACTTGTGTCTATGGATTATATCATCAAAACAGAGCCAAAGAAGAGACAGATATAAACCTACTTGGTTACATATTTAGTTATGTATGTTAAGTATAATTTTTTTGAATTTTTTAAATTATATTTTTTCCAGATCTAAGTTCTCGAGTACAGGTAGTCCCCAGGTTAAGAATGCCTGGTTTATGGATGACCCATAGTTAAGAACGGAGCCTGCTGTAGCAAAATTCGAGTTAAATACACAATGGTTCGAGTTAATTACACAATACTACTTACCCAGTATTACTGTGATGGAATGTACCTATGAAGAGGAGGGTGATGTGAGAGATCAAGGCTATCAGGGAGGAGGGGGTGCATTCCAGGAAGGGAAAAAAGACAAAAGACAACACAGTCTGCAGGGGGAGTGTGGGAAATGAAAGAGGTTCAGGATAGCCACTCCCAGAATCTCCCAGGATACATCCATTAGTTGCAGTAATATAGATTTAGTCTGGCAAGATTCTGTCTACAAGGCGTAAGCAAGTAAAGGAACTTTGCTCAACTGGATTGTTTCACCGTTGTTCTTGAGCTGGGCCTGACAATTATGCAATAATACTGTTCCGGCTTACATACAAATTCGACTTAATGACGAGCTTGGGAACAGAACTTTTTCTTAAACTGGAGACTACCTTTATCTAAATTAGCCATTATTTCTCATTATTTTTGTGGATCTTCTTTCAGTTAGGGAGCTTGGTCTTCTATTTAAAAAATGGTTATGTAAATAAGTGTAATTCTTATTTATCCAGAATGTTTCCTAGATACTTCTTGCATATCATTCCACTTGGTATGTTTTTTTGTGAAGAAGGACTAACTTTGGAGTACTTGGTGCTCTCCGAGCTTGGTTGTTTGTTTGCAGGTAACTAGGTAACATCATCAGTGTGAGTGAGTGTGGAGTTTTCTTCTATTGAGACTAACTTTGTTTTCTTTCCTATTTTTCCTAATGAAATCTTTTTCATACATTGGTTTGTCAACTTCAAAGAGAACTTTTCTGATGAGGAGGAAGTAAAGACTCTTCTCCAAGATAAGGTGAGAGTTCAGATGTCTTATTTCTTTCCCTGGAGCAGGATTATCCAGCTTTTGATGCAAACTCAAAGCATTCTGCATTTATTGCAGCCAGAAATGACACAACATATCATGCAAACTCAAAGCTTTCTGCATAGAAAACAGATATGACGGCTTACTTCTGCAAAATTATCCAGAGAGAGAAATCTGAGGTTAGGAAAATCCAACAACATTCCATTTCCAATTCAAGATTCCAGATAATCCAACAACAGCATACAGACTGAGCCCCAGGAAATTAGAACATAGTTTGCCGCAAAGAGCCAGCCACAGAAGCCATCTCTTTTAGACAGCCGTTGCTACAAATTCAGTTAGGTGGCTGAGTCACCTCTCTTTCAAGGAGACATCTTCACTTCCTTTGCCCTTCCCTTTGCAATTTGCCATGTGTAGCTGGGCTTGAGACCTTGCCTAATACAGGCCCTGGATCAGCTGACACAGAGTCTGCCCCTGGGTCTCCTCTGGTCAAACTCTTCAGGTTGTGAATGGAAGAGTGAGACTGATCTCTAACACATATGCATGTGTCAGGAAGCAACTGCATGCCATGGATTTTTAAAATCATAAACTCGAAAGCTACCATTGATCCAAAATGTTTTAGAATGGAAATGTTTTCTTGCTGTATGACTGCTCTGGAGAAAGGCAGAGGACACAAATACTTAAATAATAGACTGTATGTAAGAAACGTTCCTCTCCTCCCCATATCTTTACATTCTTTGAGAGCCTTTTCGTGCTTTCACCCAGCCTCTTTCTCTTTGCCATACCTCTATAACAGTGGAGGATGACCTTAGGTATGTGGAGCTGTAGTCTGAGTACAGTAGATGCAAAAACCATTTTAAAGGAGTCTCACTAAATGCTATGCACAGTGTCACAGGAGTCAGAGGAGAAGGTGGGGAATCAGTTCTTTAGGAAGAGAAGAGAGCATTCCACATACAGTACTGTATGTCTGTTGATGCCACTGATCTTAATTTTTAGGACTCTTCTGCAAAGACCAGCTGACTGTGGGCAAGGAATGCTTAGTAGACTCATTGAGAAGGCTTGAACAGATGACACCCCTCTTGGCTTGCCCCATCTGCCATGGAAGGAGTCTGCAATCAGGCTTTCCTGCTCCATTTCAAAAGTGGTGTTTTGTGATCTGTGCCAGTCTGAGCCTAGCTGTGCAGTGTTTCTGCCATGCTTTAATTCAATCTAGGTAAAGTCTACACCCCTATTGGCTATCATATGGAGGTACCAGCATGCCCTCTCCTCTCTGGTCACAAGTTGCTACCCACCATGGACCTTTTTGGGAAGGCTGTGTCCAAAGAGAGGAGAGGAACATGCCCACATAAAGCCTGAACCCCACTGTGCTTTGTAAGGCAAGTCTCAGGCCTCACGTAGGTTTCTTCTTTAGTTCCAATAAGCTGTGCTCTGAAGCATTGATTCACTAGCTCCTTTCTCCACATGCCTTTGGGGTATCAATAGTTACTATAAGATCTTTTGTTATAGCCTATATTGATCAAGTAGAATTCTAGTATTTCTTGTGATATCCATTTCCTGACTTGGCCTATCTTGAAGGGCTGACCTCAGTCTTGAATGCCTAACAGTGTATCACCTTCTCTTCCACTTACACAAAGAGAGTCAAGGTGGGGCAATCTTCAGCTTCTTTCTCACAGTATCTTGTTTTCCAGGGCTAATTTCATGTTTTACTAATGGTTGCTGCATGTTTTCTCCAAGGTCATCTCTGTACTCTTCTACATCATCATAACTAAAAAGAAATCCTACTTACTTATTCACAACGTCCACTGTTTTTCTACCCCGTTGCAAATGTGAGGTTCTTGCTAAATGAAAACAATCATTTTCATGAATGTAAAAGCAGTTTGTTATACTGGATGAATTGTGTATAACCAGGTTTACATACAAAACTTTTCACACTGCTAATTGAATCTGAGGAAAAGAATTAATGGCTTGTTTCTTTGAGGATCATTCCACCACTGATCTGTGCCTCATCAGGCGCTGTGAGTTTTGTACCACCCCTCTGAAGCCTTTACCAATGCCAGAAGAACTGGAGGAGAAACCAGAAAAAATGGATCATGTATGTATCTTTCTAAATATTTATCTGCCAATCAGACTAGTGATCATGATTTCCTGATAATCTAATTGCACAAAGAACTGGGTTTTTCCTGATAAAACTGTAGATAAAACTGTGTACTATATAAAACTGTAAAATTAGCAGTTGTTAACGGCATGAACCTTCCCCATCAATCATTATTGCTGGAAGAGACCATGTTGCCTATACATATATTGACCGCTAGGGGCAGTAGACGTAGAGATACCTAACAGAAGGATTGCGCGGAGTTTTCATTCCTTGAATGGAAATTCATATTTGTGTACCTCTGTGTAACATGTCTCCTATTGCCATAACTAATATTGAGCAAGTTTTAAAAAATCCTGGGTATACATATTCCTAAGCATGTAAGGCATTTAAATTTGAAATATTTATTAACTATGTTTTTATACTGCCGTATGTCATAAGGACTCAGGGAAATAGAGATGTCTATAATATTAGATATAATGTTTTGCAATTTAAGAGGAATGTCAATGCAAAATAATTGATGTTTAAAATTAACCATAAAATCTGATGCCTTCACAAAAGCTTGAAGTTCCTCTTTTATATACTAAGAAGCCTGAGCCATGTTAGACAGGGTAAGAACCATATCACCCACAAATAAAATTAGTAAATAGTCTTTACCCTCTATATTGATTCCTTAAATTTGAAATTTGCTGATAAGGCACTTGCTGATAGTTATCTCCTAATATTTCTGTAACGAAGCTGAACAATAAAGGAGGTAGCAGCAGACATATCTGTTGAGTAGCTCTAGAAAGTGTGAGCAAAGCCGAGTCAAAATTGCTGATCCTTATTTTTGCCTTATATTATTGTTTTTATTATAAATGGTATCTGTATATTGCCTAGAGTCCATTGGATGAAGGTGATAGGTAAATCTCCTAAGTAAGTAAGCAAGTAAATATTAATGGCTTCATTTCAACTCTTGATCAGGAATACCTGAAGAGACCATAAAGAGTAAGATCAAGACGTCTAGACAAATCCAGGAACAGAGAGGCTGTGGTCCAGGATAATACCATGAGCAGTGTAGAAAATCTAGGAGGAAAGCAGCTAATTAGGACACTGCCTCTTTCTCAGCTGCAGTGGAAAGACAGATTTGGTCATGTTGACCATGCCAAGAAAGTCCTTCAATTAGCCATTTGGGAAATCGAATGTTTTCCAGTTTAGGAAAAAAAAAATCAGGAGATGCTCATGAGCAATATTGGGACATGAAACAAGCATATTCTTTCCTAGAGATTATTAAATATTGAACAGCAAACGCCAGTCCTAAGTAGTGTCAGTGGTGGCTATCCCTTATCTGAACACTGGGGTCCTTTGTAGTTTCTGTGTTGCAGGACATATAAAGAAGTTTTCCAGTGTGTAATACAGGAGCTTATTGAGAGCCCAGAAGGTGAAATTGACATCAATCCTCATCCCCGAATTTCACAATCAGTGATGGACAGCAAGACTAAAAAAATGCTGATAGAAGAGTAAGCAATGTTCAGGTTGAATGTCTCAGTCGCCTACCTGAAACTTTAGCTCTTTGCTACCATCTAGTGGTCATCTAGGGTTTTGCAGTCCACATCTAACAGTGTACTCAATTTCCACCATCCCCCACAAAGTATTTTTTCCTACTATAGTGTACCTTTGCCAGGTAGACACAATTCCAAATAAAGCTCTGGGCAAGACCATATTTAAGTTTGACAATATAAGAATTGTCTATGTAAGAAGCAATTGTCTATGTCAGAGTACACTTGGGAATGATTTATTTGTGGAGTCCTTGGTGCTCTCTGAGCTTGATTGTTTGATTGCAGACGTTTCCTTACCCAACTAGGTAACATCATCAATGCTAGTGAGTGTCGGGTTTGCTCTGTGTTTATATACAGTAGCTTGCCCTGCCAGCGTTACTGGGAGTGTAGTTTTCTCCTTGGTAGTTTCTTGATTAGGGTATTGTTTTTGTTTGATTGTTTGTCTGCTTGATTGTTTGTCTGGTGTAAATCCCTGCTTATCTGGGTATAGACTGCTGGAGAGGATGTGTTTTGGTCTTTTTGTTTCCTTCTTAGCTTTCTTCTTGTCTTTTTTGAATGGTGTGTAAATGTGGTTTAACTCTATGTGTCTATTGATGGCTGATGTGTCTGAATGCCAGGCTTCCAGGAATTCCTTAGGGTTTTTGGATTTAGCTTAGTCTAGGAACACCAACTAGAAGTCATGATGAAAACTCCTTAATGTCACAACACATGGACAGACTCAGCCATAATTTCAACTGGGAAACTGTCAGCATCCTAGACAAACAATCAAACAGAAAACAATACTCTAATCAAGAAACTACCAAGGAGTTTATTTACACTCCTTGATAGTTTCTTGATTAGAGTATATATTTATTTATAATAAATTTATTTATTTAAATAAAGCATGTGCTTTATTTTATTACTGTTATCAGATCAGGGCTGCAGATTTATGGAAGATCAGTAGACATCCAGATTAATAGCACCCCAGTCCTGGTAGCCCTAAATTTGCAGTCTACTAGATTCCCATTGAAAAAGACCCTTCAGATAAAGTCAGATGGGGAAGGGTCACAGTGAGGCCCGAGGAAAATTGTCTATTTCTGGTTCTTTGGCTGAATAGAAAAATAAAGTGCCACATGCTTTCTGTGACACAGGGTTACCTGCAGCTTATTAACGTAGTTGATTGATTTCTGTGCTTAGTTGCCCTTCTCATGCATGTATTCTTCAGCTGCTTTTCCTGATGAAACATCATTTATTTTCAAATATTTTTCTCATAGACTACAAGAACGAGGCTTTGAGAAATACAAGGAGATATTTGAGCAATATATTAAATTTGGTGCATGTGAGTATAAGTCTTGTGCTGATTCAGAACCCATCCCATCCCTTTCTTTGGTCATTTGTTCCTTTCTCCAAATCATACCACCCTTCCTGGCCTCCACATCTCCAGAAGTACAAGTGCAAAAGTGGGAACACATATTTCCTTCCTTTTTCACTTTGGTAAAAGAGACAAATCCTGTGAAGTCCTTATTATACTGAAGTTCTAAACTATTTAATCTTCTCTTCACAATATTTCAGGCACCAAAATTCATTTCAGATTATCAGACTATCCACCCAAACCAGAAATGACTGTCCTAAAGAAACAGTATCCAGATCCCAAAGAGCTCCTGGAGATTGATTTGGAGTTCAAAGCAGAACAATTAAAGGTAAGTAGATCTCCTAATATACGGTGACCCTTTCTAGTGCCCTAATGCTCATGCACAAGACTGAGAACTCATTTAAAAAGTGAATATACTCAGTACCTTTTCTTTGGCTCAACAGAAAAATAAAGTGCCATATGCTTTCTCTGACACACAGCTACCTGCAGTTTATTAATGCATTTGACTGATTTCTGTCAAGCATTTTCTCCCAGGAGCTCAAGGTAGCATAGATAGAACTTCCTCCTCCAATTTTATCCACAACAATAACCCTGTGACAGAGGTTGTGCTGAGACTGAGTCACCAAGGGAGCCTCCATGGCTGAGGATGGACTTGAATCTGGCTCTTCCTAGTCCTTTATGGCACCTGAGCTTTCTCAAATTCATTTTGCTAATCTAGATGTGAGCTGATAATATCCTTTGGCCAAAGTTCAGGTGGACCTCCACTTCTAAGAGGCTTCTGCAAAAGATCATTGCAGACATCTGGTGTAAGTTATTTGTCCCTTCCATGGCAATCAGATGAGCAAAAAGAAAGAGAAGTGCTGCACCTTAGTCTGCCATTTCCAGATTTGGGCTGCAAAAACTCAGAAGACCAGTAGAAAAATAATTCTACTACCATCTAGTGATCATCCAAATTTTTGCATCCAGGTATGGTAGTCCTCTCCTTGCCCTAATGAAAGCACTTCCCTCTCCTGCTCAAATCTAATAGATTTTGCAACCCTTGGACCTCTTTACCCTTAAAAGAGAGCTGCTTTTTTCTTTTTCTTTTTTAAATGGGAGACTTCTGGACTAAATAAACATACTACCCTAAAAGATCCAGAAGGGCTATTATTGAAAATGTTCTAGATAACTACAGAAATACATAATTTAATATTTGAAATGCACAACATCCTGAGAGACTTAATGTTTACACTGTTTACATTACTTTATTTTTATGGGTCATCCCTTTAGAAGCTTGGAGTGGATATTGTTGAGTCCTTGGCTCCTGTTTTAATATGTTATGACTTCTATAGAGACTCTTTTAACACTTTTTCTCACTCGGGGTGACAGATGAGTTTTATGTGCATCATCTTCAGTCAGATAAGGACACTAGAGTGACACTTATCATAGCCAAATCTGTAGCCTACAGGACACAATCACTCTTAATATCAGGCTTTTTGTGTGTGTGTGTGTGTGTGCCTTCAAGTCAGTTTCTGACTCCCGGTGACTGCCTGGACAAGTCCCTGTAGTTTTCTTGACAAGGTCTTTGGAAGTGGTTTGCCATTGCCTCCTTCCTACAGCTGAGAGAGAGGGACTGGCCCCAAGTCACCCAGGTGGCTTTGTGCCAAAGGCGGGACTAAGAACTCATGGGCTCCCATCTTCTAGCCTGATGCCTTAACCACTACCCCAAACTGGCTCTCCTAGTATCAGGCTTAACTACAATAAAAGGTATCAAGCTTCCATCAACAAACTGGACTCAAAACAGGTGCAACAGTCATTCAAGAGGCAAGAGCTTCTGATAAGTAGATTTATTGTAGAATAGCTAATGAAGTCATGATTAAAGAGTTCCAGGAACTGCTTGTTTTAAATGCACGGCCTATTTGTAGAGAAGTCAGAGTTTAAATTCTTGCATCTCTTTCTCCCATCCATGCAGCATAACTAGCTAGAAGCCTGCTTCTACTTGTTTCCAACTGTCTTTTGATTTGGTAAAGAACTAGCCTGGTTTTCAATTGGTTTATGCTGATCTTGTGAGAATGAGCTCCTACAGAATGTCTTGCTCTTCTGATCTTGACGGTTACCTATTCCCATGTATATATCAATAGTAGTCTTTGTTGTATAGTATTGTTTGTATGTTATGTTATTTTTATTTGTTTTTTCATTATTGGTCAATGATCACAGTAAAATATATGTCAGATTAAATATGAATTAACATCATGCTATAGCTACAAAATGAAAGCAAATGCAATTTTAGTCTGCATCTACAAAAATATAGGTTCTCAGTTATGAGACTTAAAAATTTTGCTTTAATTCTGCATTTGTCAGATTCCCCTTGGCGTATTGTGTCCTGTTCTGGTCATCACACATTAAGAACCTATGCAGATAACCTGGGATAGGTGCAGAGATAAGGCAGTGAAGAACTAGAAACCACATCTTGTGAAGAGAGATTGAAGGGGCTGATGGGTTTAGATTTGAGAAGGAAGACTGAGAAGGGGATGTGAATAAAATGACACACAGACTATTGCCTTTTCTCTGCCACCTAGAATGCAGGACACAGAAAAATAGCTTAAGTAATAGAAATATTTTTTTATTGACTATTGGAAGAAAATCTGCAGGAAGAGCAGACAGACAATGGAGATGATTGAGTAAGCTTCCCTTTGCAATGGTGTTATCAAAAAATAAATAAGAAAAAGCTTTGGGATGGAAAAGGAATAGAAACACTTATAAACAAGCAAATCGAATGAGACTTTAGCATGAATGAGAATGGGAATGTCGTTTTGAAAAGAATATAGATCTCTAGTTTCTTTTTTAAAGAGAGTGTCATCAGAACTGAAGACACTAAATCTCCCGTCCCCCCCCCGCCATTTTTTCATCCCTCCAAAACACTGCGGTTGCAAGAATCACCCTTACTTGAGTTCATTCAGTTGATTCCTGAATCCAAGCCTCTCCCTTCTCCTGACTTCCCCAACCACCAAAATACAGTATATGATAAGTTATTTTTAATTTTTTTTTTATGCTGGGCAATGCTTTGTCTTTTCTAGTGAACACACTGAGTTTTTCAACTATATATCCAAAGTGGAGCTGTGTAGAGGATTTTAAATTAGAAACTCAGCAAGTTGGTCTCAGTGTGGTGTAGTGGTTAAAGTATTGGACTGGCACTGGAGGGTTCAACTCCACCCTTAGCCATGGAAGCTCACTAGGTGACCTTGGGTCAATCTCTCTCAACCAAACACATCTTAAGGGGTTGTTGTTGTAGGAGAAAGTGGGGAGCATTATATATGTTGCCTTCAATTTCTAAATGAAAGATGGGATATAAATCTAAGAAAATAAAAATTTTAAAAGTTACATAGGCTATGAACACAAATTAGTTCAGAGACACAAATCACCCTGTGCCAGGTTTGGAATTCAGACTCAACCAAAAGACAGCCTTTGTTTGTTTGTTTGGAAGACCTGTAGCTCTACCTCCTTTAGGAAAGCAGTTAACCTCACGCTTCTTTCTTTCACGCATCAGGTCAATTCTTTCCTACTTCCTCTTGTCTGAAATCTTGATCACTTCCCCTAACTAACCAAATAAATATTTTTCTGCCAGAAACTTGGCATGATTAGAACTTAGGAGAACCTATGTTTAAATGGTACAGACAAGGAAATTGTATAGTTATCTTTTTATTTGGAAGGAAATAAGATTAGAAAAAAACTTAAGCAAATAAGGTAAAAGCCAGTTTAGTGCAGTGGTTAAGGCACCAGGCTAGAAACTGGGAGACCATGAGTTCTAGTCCTGCCTTAGTCACAAAGCCAGCTGGGTGACCTTGGGCCAGTCCCCGTGTCTCAGCCCTAGGAAGAAGGCAATGGCAAACCACTTCTGAAAAACCTTGCCAAGAAAACTGCAGGGACTTGTCCAGGCAGTCTCCGAGAATCAGACAAGATTGAACAGATTAAAAAAAAAGAAGCAAATAAGAAAGAATCTTTGTGTTTATTATTAATGTCTGGTTGTCATATAATTTATTCTTACTAGTTATTAGGTAACTATGATTCATTCCAGAGGACCTCTCTCTCCATATCTTTATTTGTTGAACAGCTCCCTTATTTTCACCCTAAATATCTATTTGTTGACGTTTAACTTTCTTCTGTTATGTATTTATTCAACTTGCATGGATGCCCAATTCACAAGGTACTCTGGGCAGTTTACAAATTAAAAACTATCATATCTAAGGCAAAACAAGTTGGAAGCTGAAGACACCAATCAGTGTGCTACAATGTCCCCTAAAGAGAGACCCCTCCAACATTCTGGCTCAAGGCCATCTTGAAAGCCCCCTTTCATTGCAGAGGCTGTACAGCATGTTGATGCTGGCGAGGTCACGGGATCCAACGCTTGTGCCATGTTTCAGAAGGAGTTTTGTCTTCCCTGTTTTCTTCTGCTTTCTTCCTCAGTTTTGCCATCCTTTCAAGCCTGTGCAAAGATATTTTCAGAATGGAAAGATATTCTTCCTTCTTTTTCCAGATGGAACGGGCCAAGTTTAATATCCGCTAGTAAATACCATTTAGAGGAACAAGAATTAATGGCTTGGAGATATACTAGCTCAGGATTCCTTTCTCTGTGAAAGATAAGAGCCATATGGAATCTGAATGATATAAAAGCACAGGGACGCCTGCTAAGCCTTGGTGGCCGGGGAAGGGAATCTCTCCCTGGTTTAGCTCTACGATGACCTCTAGGTTTTGAGATGCACCCCTGGCTTGTTGGATAGAGAGGCAGAATGACTGGATTGACCTCCTTTCCCGGGTCTTTCTCTAATAACTGTCCATTTCTGTATTTGTGGCTGAGCTCTTCCATTACATTGGAAGTTTTAGTATAATCAGGCATAGTTTGTCAATAAAGGAAGACTATGTTACTAAGATAACTTAATATATCTAGCGTTCTATATAAAAAATATCTTTCCTTAGCTCTTAATCAATTACCCATCAGGTCGTGTTGCTATCCTCATTACTTACATAAGAGAGATTCAGTTCACGTACATCGTCCTTAATGACAGCAAAACCCATGAACTTCAGGCATTGTTCACAAATCAGGGCTATGCAGCATACTATCAACAAAATCAAAAGCTTAGGTAAGTAAAAGATAGTTGGCACAATGGCTACAAAAATCTACATTTTACAGGGTAGTTGTAATAGTATAATGGAAAATGTTTACTGAGTAATTTTTATATATTATAAGAAGTCCAAAAATTACGGCCTAGTACTAAATACATTTTTTCCAAATGTTTATGCATTCATCACTTTTGGGAGTTTCTGAATGTTTGCATATCTTTGCCACGAAATGTTATTGGAACTTCCTGTGGATTCTACTGATACGAAAGGTGTCGGAGACAAGAAAGGCCACAAACATTTTTCCTGTGATGCTCTCTTGCCACTGAACTGAGGTCAAGCTAAATCATCTTTAAAACAAAGGAGTTTAGACTCAGCAGGTCAATTGGAATCTGCTGTTTCTAATTTAGATTTTAGAATCTAAAAGGGGTATATTCATAAACAATCAATTTTTAGATTTTAAACCAGATTCTTATTTGTATCAAATGTCATTCCCCAAATTTAGAAGAGCTCTAAATCCAACTTGCTTCAATGTGTTCCCACAGCAGTTTTGGAGGGGAAAATACAGAAAAAGTCCTTTCGAAGCCCAGCACTGATCCTGTGGCATGAGTGCCGGAGAAGCTATGGCCCATGATCCACTAAGCATCTTTAGCGCCAGTTTTGCAGGGACATTCATCTTCTGCTGATTACCTGTCTCTCACCCAAATTTCTAGAGTGCTCTGATAAGTTTTATTTACACTGTTTCCTAGATGATCAAGACAATCTTACTTCCCTCTATGTTGTCACTTTATGTGTAAGCTCTACCTACAGATGGTGAATAACACTAATGACATAGCCTAGGTGTTTATTTTATTACGCATGGCTGCATGGCTCAAGATTCATATAGCTCCCTCACTACCTGCCTTCAGGTGATCCAGAAAAACATGGCTTTTTCCTCAGCCCTAGGTTTGGCTATTTGGAGGAGGTCTTTTAAATTGGGGGTGATATGGTAGAAAGTTATGTGGTTCCCTCAAACAAGTATTGTCTTTTCTATATAATGATATTTTTTAATTTTATGAAGCTTCCCAGAATCGTTCTGGAATTAGGTGGCTTAGAAATTCAACAAACAAACAAACAAATAAATAACGACACACATAGAGCCATCAGACTGATGAAGACTATGTTCATAAATTTGTAATCTAGTGATTATTTTTATTATCCTAGCCTTTCAGTATTATTGCCAATCTTTCTATGTATCATTTTATTTTACACGATAGTATTATGGTTCTTATAATATGAATATTAAATATAGTTTTACTTACAGATTTTAGTGAGATAGTGATTTTCTGTTTCATGCTACCTATTTTTAATTATTTTTAGATATTATTCCGTTGTTTTATATATTAACATTCACATTATCTAAATTTATGCTGTGCTCCACTCATTCTTGTCTTTGTCATCTTAATCTTACAATCAAGTGTATTGATATCATGATGTTATAGTATGTAACTAGTAACTTAAATCCAGACAGAGCCAGTCTGGTGTAGTGGTTAAGGCACCAGGCTAGGAACTGGGAGACTGTGAGTTCTACCTTGGCATGAAGCCAGCTGGGTGGCCCTGGGCCAGTCCCTCTCTCTCAGCCCTAGGAAGCAGGCAAGGGCAAACCACTTCCGAAATCT